TTTTGCCAGAACCTTAGAAAATAGGAGGCTAACCTAAAGCCAACTCATCCCTTTGAACATTTGTCAAAGACCTGTAACTCTGAAATCATAAAAAGTGCTATTGATTCCTTTGATATACTTTGAACTCATGTTTACAATTTGATTCAATTACGAACAATATTTTTACAGAATTTTCATCATTTTCCCTCCTAAAACAAGAAAAAAAGGAGAAAAACATTTTCAAACAGGACAGTCTCGGATATGAAAGGTCTGTAAAGCCAAAGCCTGGAAAAGGGAATGGGGCACGATCGATTCCAAGGACCAGATTGGCAGACAAAGCACGAGACTCCATCCAAGAAATAACACATAATTCATTCATGTTGCATGCATCTTAGACATACTTAGGTGCATCACATTCATAATTTTGCAGCTTTCAGAGTCAAGCTTCGACTTCAGGATGAAGGTTACTAGACTTGCAAGCAATTTTAAAGAACGATGGTGTAACTCAGCAGCAAGAAGCTCCACCTCAACCGACTTGACATATCTACAGATCTCGTAATCAATTTCAGATAGGTTCGAGAACCAATTCGGAACAAATCCAGTCCAGTTCAACTCAACAAAGAGCAGCATGTTTCCAGTTAATGCCTTCAAGCCAGATTTCAATTCCACAACGGAAGATATCCGGCTATCAGAATTTATCAGTGGGCTTTTCCGTAAAAGGGGAGTCATCCAAAGATTGTCTCATTTGGTTCAGACTAGCTCAAAGGAACCACCTGAAGAGTCATGACCGGCTTCGACCCGTTAAGGGAAGCCATTTTTAAAACAAATCATTTGCAGCATAACTCAAGGCTAGAAGGGTTATCTGTCACCAAAGACCTTCGAGTTCGATTACACTCAGCTTCGAGGGCACATCATTTGCAGCATAACTTAAGTCGAGAAAGGTTATCTGCCAACCAAAGACCTTCGAGTTCGACTACGCTCAGCTCCAAGGCATGTCATTTGCAGCACAACTTAAGTCTAGAAGGGTTGTCTGCCAACAAAAGACCTTTGAGTTTGACTACGCTCAGCTCAACGGCACATCATTTGCAGCATAGCTTAAGTCGAGAAGGGCTATCTGCCAAAGACCCCCGAGTTCGATTACGCTCAGCTCAACGGCACATCATTTGCAGCATAGCTTAAGTCGAGAATGGCTATCTGCCAAAAGACCACCAAGTTCGATTACACTCAGCTTCGAGGGCACATCATTCGCAGCATAACTTAAGCCGAGAAGGGTTATCTGCCAACCAAAGACCTTCGAGTTCGACTACGCTCAGCTCCAAGGCATATCATTTGCAGCACAACTTAAGTCTAGAAGGGTTGTCTGGCAACAAAAGACCTTTGAGTTTGACTACGCTCAGCTCAACGGTACATCATTTGCAGTATAGCTTAAGTCGAGAAGGGCTATCTGCCAAAGACCCCCGAGTTCGATTACACTCAGCTTCGAGGGCACATCATTTACAGCATAACTCAAGGCTAGAAGGGTTATCTATGACCAAAAGACCTTTGAGTTCGACTACGCTCAACTCCAAGGCACATCATTTACAGCATAGCTCAAGGTAAAGAAGGGCTATCTGTCAATAAAATTGTCGAGTTTGGTTCCATTCAGCTCGATGACACCCCAACCACACTACTGTTCGGCTGCAATCAAGGTTTTCAAGTCGAGAAGAAGACCTGGGTTAACCGTGCCTTAGTGACAATAAATCGTTTTTCCGGCAGCATAGCTTAAGTCGTGAAAAGCTATCTGTCAATGAAGACCTTTCGAGTTCGATTTTAGTCAGCTCAAGGGCCTATCAACCATATGGTGGAATCAAAGAATGATTTTTCAGTCGAATTCTCAAACCAAGGTCTTTAAACCGAGAAAAAAGACAGAGGCGGACTACGACGAGAAGCCACATTCTGTTTCAAATTCCGGACCACAGCTTCAATTCCATATCATTTCAAGATGGACTCGACTTCGCGACGGAGGGGCCATTCGCAACTCAATTCGACAGGGAGTTATTCTTTCAGAGTCAATTTTTCAACTCCACTGAACAAAAATTTGTGTCTTTTTTATCTTTGTCCTATTTTTCGTTCTACGAAAAAAGACAAAGAGGGGCAGCTGTAAACACTAATTTTCGTTCATTTTTTTCCCGGATATTTCTATATATAATTTGCAAGCGGTTTGAAAATACGTATATAATATATATGGTTTTTAAAACACTTTTAAAAACTATATATTATATATATATTTTCAAAACATTTTTAAAAAATATATAATATATAATTTTTGAAAAACATTTTAAAAATATATAATATATAATTTTTGAAAAACATTTTGAAAACATATAATATATAATTTTTAGAGCATTTTTGAAAACTTATATATAATATATAATTTTTTTAAAACATTTTTAAAAAATTATATAATTTTTAAAAGAACATTTTTAAAAATTATTAGTTTTTTGAAAAACATTTTTGAAAATGTATATATAGTATATAGTTTTTAAAAAAATAAACAGTTTTAAAATATATATTATATAGTTTTTATTTATTGTTTTTATTTATTATTATTCACCCGTTTTTATTTAATTATTTAATTATTATTATTTTTTTTAGGTAAATTGTTTTGGTCCAGCAACAGTCCAAATTGGGCCTGAATCAGCCCGTAGCCAACATCCAAAGGAGATAGGGTTTACATACGTTTAACACAGGCGGCGCACAGGGGAAAACCCTAAGACCTCATTTGTGCAGCCAGATCTGGACCGTTGGATCTGACCCGGGACTGACCCATCCCGGGGTGACCGGTCACAACAGCCACGATCGCCCCTATTTCGAAACTAACAGGCCACCGGTGGGGTATAAAGACCCCCACCAAGCCACTACCAAGGGGGATCATCAGAGAACACAGGACCCAAAAAAACGGTACATCAACGGTGATAACCCCCGAGAACACAGTAAACAAACAACCATCACAGTGAGATACAACCACGATACCAATAGAGAACCATCAGCCACAAACAGAGACCATCGATCGGGAACCACGAAACCCACGAGTAAACTAAAAAACCAACAGAATCAATGAGTACACCAAACAACAACAGAGATATCAGCAGAGAAATACAACCAAAGACACATATCACAACAACAAAAAGAGCAGTGAGCGAAGCAAAAAAATTCAACAACCGCGTCGGAAGTCAGAAAGTCACCGACGGAAAAGGTGAAAACCGAGGTTTGCATATTAGATCTACGGTTATTGGGGTCGATTTTGAGGGTTTGGTGGCTAGTTTTGGGTTTACGGGGTTGAGAGCAACGCGTGAGGGGCATTTTTGTTTTTCCGGCCACCACCAGTGGTGGCCGATGGCGACGTCTGACGGTGGTCGGGAATCGCCTGAGGGGAGGAGCTTGAGAGGTTTGAGAGAGTTATCAGAGAGAACACGGGCGAAAATAAGAGAAATGAATTGCAAGGAGGCTTATTTGGGCATTTATATACGGAGGACCGGAGTGCAAATAGATGATTTCTAAATCCTCTCCGCAGTCCCTATAGCTTTGAATCGCTTTACAATTCGGTCATCAGTTGTAATTTGGCCTCGAAATTTTTAATTTTATCAATTTGACCCTAGTTTATATTTTTACATTTTTGTGAATTGGCCACTCACTTATGATTTTATTTTGCAGGTCATTTTTCTAATATCAATTTAACCCATTAATTCCAATTTTGTTCAATTTGATCCTTCAAGTTTTATTTTATCATTATTAGTATTATTTTTTTCATTAGTATTGATTTCGAACTTTAATTCTTTTTTGATTCCTTTACTATTTTCTTTTTTTCATTATCATTTTTTTCTTTATATTTTTTTTAAAAAAATCCAATTTTTATTTATCATTTTTTTCTATTTATTTTTTATTTTATTTTTAAGCTTATTTTATTTTTTTATTTATTCTTTTCCTCTTTTTTCTTTTGTATTTATTTTGATTTGTTTTTTTATTTGTTTATTATTGAATTATCTTTTTAACATTTTTTATCTTTTTTCAGAGAAATTTTAATCGGTCAAAGGTAAGTAACTCGAATCGGATTTTTAAATTTCAATTTAAATTTTTAATTTTTGCAATTAAAGACAACCGATAAATTAATTGGTACCGAAAGGGCGGTTCAAGGGTGCTAATCCTTCCTTGACCGTAACCGACTCCCGAACCCGACACATTTCTGGTATAACTCAGATCAGGTAAGATGGTGTCCGACCCACCTAAATTCATTTTAAAATGGTCGGTGGCGACTCTAATCCAATTCATTCAAGTCGAAGCCCAATTCCGGGCCCAACCGAAAGACGGTTCCGACACTTCTGATAAGAAAGCATGGAGAATTAAGACCAGGGTAGCCGAGTAGTGCGGATCACAGACATAGGGTATAACATATCTGTCTTCTTTTTAATGCCTTTTTAATAATTTCCATGACTTCTACTTTATATACGTGTCTGTTATTATAATTTATGAAGGCTTAGAACTAGGGTAGCGGATTAGTGTTGTCTCAGTTTATGATTTAACCCATTTGACTTTATTCCTTCGCGTAGCTTTCTATCGTTTGACCATTGTGTATCATTCTCTTCAGGTTTTCTCTTTTTAAATTTATTTAGATTTTACGTTTCTGTCTATATATAGAGATTTTTACGCAGAGATTTATTTGCAGGGATTTATTTGCAGGGATCACTCCCCATTACAGACGAGCATACTGAAGACTACATAGGAAGACTTTTCAACTATGTATTTAGTTATTTATTTATTCATACAAACATTGTATTTTATCTTTATTTTTAATTTTCTTCCTGCCATAGGTCTTCCACGGAAGCTGTTATCAATCCTGGCGTTGGGGGCAGCCTACTACCCTACCTCCCCCTTACCCCATTGTATATGGGAATAGGGTTTTGTTGTTGTTGTTTAGAATTTTTAGTTATATACTTATATGTAAAAAAATCTATACGTGTCCTACTTGTGTGTGTTCTTTGTAGCTGGGAGGGGGTAAAAGAATTGTTTTTCACTTATATATATTTTTCCTGCAAATTTTGACTGGACATCAAGATAATGCAGAATTTGCTCTTGCAATGTGTCCCACTGAACCCTATGTTCTGTCTGGAGGTTTGGAAGTTCAATCTTTCAGTTAACTGTTTAATTACTTAAATCTGATGCTTTTATTGATATATTTGGTTCTGATCCATTTGAGATATTAACTAGTGGCAGTGAAGTTAAAATGATTTACTTTAAGATATAAATCTGCCAATAAAAGCTATGTTATGTTTGAAATAACTTCATTATCATTTAGGAAGTTACTGTTAATCAGATTGTGCTAATGGTTTGTCTTAATCTTTTCTGATGCATGACTTTACATTGAGGTCATGCCCCTATATTTCAAGTCCTGAAGTGGATTATTATAATATTTTATTAAAATTGGATCAAGAAAACTGAAACTTGTTTCATGTAATGGGATTTTCTTCTTAACGAGTGGACTTCTATGACAGGGAAGGATAAATCAGTAGTTTTGTGGAGCATTGAGGACCATGTAACAACAGCATCTGGTGGATCAATCATCAAAAAGTCTGGGGAAGGTAATGATAAAGCTGATGGTGGGCCTTCTGTAGGTCCTCGGGGTATCTTCTGTGGGCATGAGGATACAGTTGAGGATGTTGCGTTCTGTCCATCCAGGTAGCTGCTTTCTCTTGGGAAAAGATCTGAATGCACATAATTCTTTTATGTTTTATTCTTCTTTAGTTAGTCATAAACTTTTCATGTAAATGAGAGTTCATTAAAATGGATTCTTCTGTATTTTATTTTCCACTGTATAATGACTTCTGCGTTGTTCATATGGCTTCTAATTTCTGACATTTTTTATAACCGATGAAGTGCACAGGAGTTTTGTAGTGTAGGTGATGATTCCTGCCTCATATTATGGGATGCACGAGTTTGCACTAGCCCTGCTGTCAAGGTAAATTTTCTTTTAATATATATTTATTTATATTTCTAATAATACCCCTTTTCCCCTTCATTTCCTTGCTTTCTCAATTTCTGCTACTTTGATGAAAATCTAAATATTTGCATGAAAAGGAAGTTTAAAGAGTTGATATAAGCTGAATAATAAGCATCTTCAGCATTCATTTTGATCTTTGCACCTGTTAATTTGAATCTAGCTCGGCTTCTGAGTGAATTCTTTAAATTGTTTTATAGTTGAGAGGATGATGGTAATGATTTGAACCAGTGAAAAGAGTAGGATAATTTTTGTACCTTCATTTTCCCATTTCTATGGGCAGGGCTGTAATGTTATGCCCCTTCTTAAATCCTTTGCGTGAGCTTGTTGAAAGGATGTACTCCGAATCTGATACCTGAAACCCTATTGTTTAGCATATTTCTTTACTCATGAGTTCCTCTTGGGTGAATCAACCCGATATTCATGTTTCCCTTTACAAACTTGTTAATATTTGCTCATATGTAATTTGAATATCCTGATGTTTTTGATAGCTAATTGTAGGTTTCTTGTTGACAGGTTGAAAAGGCACATGATGCTGATCTTCATTGTATTGATTGGAACCCCCATGACAATAATCTTATCCTCACTGGGTATGTTTCGGTCCCTTCTTTTTTGGTTATCAAACCATGTCCATGTTTTATAAGGATGGTTACAAATTTTTGTTTGCATTCTCTTGTTGATCTTTCAGGTCAGCAGATAATACTGTTCATATGTTTGATCGAAGGAACCTCACTTCTAATGGAGTTGGGCCACCTGTTTATAAATTTGAGGGTCACAAGGCTGCTGTTCTTTGTGTGCAGGTGTGAAAAGATCAGTTGTTCCCATACGCTTTTATGCCTTACAAATATTATTATTACACGTGACTGTTTTTTCCTAATTTATAATTTTTCACCGTCCAGTGGTCTCCCAATAAGTCATCGGTATTTGGTAGTTCTGCTGAGGATGGGCTCTTGAACATTTGGGATTATGACAAGGTGTAATTGCTTGATCCGTTTCCTGCTATTGCCTTTGTATACATAAAACAATGTGCATGCATGTGACATGGATGACACACTTGGCTATGCATATTGGTTGAACCCATCCATGTTACTCCAACTCTTTGTTTTTCCTGAAGTACCCATTTCTAACACCCATGTTTGCCATGTACTCGGATATGGGTATGTGGATATGATCCTCCAAGGACCTTTTAAATACATGGAAATCTTGAGAAAATTGAATATGTTTGTGTTGGAGACATACCCATATTCTACATGATCAAGTCCAAGTAACATAGGTATTTGAATGCTGCCCATCCATATTTTAAGTTTGCTAGAATAAGTTCTGTATGTAATTTGTTTTTAGATTCAGTCAATTTTAGGAAGTTGAACTCCTTAAATAAAATAGGATATTATATGGGATTTGACAGTTTGGCGCTAATCTTTCTAGGATTGAAATATATATGTGAAAAATGCTGTCATGAAGATGCTTACCAAGTTCTTTGTCCTCATCAATAAAACCTGTTGCAATTTCTAGGCTGCATCTCTAACTTATCGTTTGAAAGCTAATCAGTGGAAGAGGATATAAAGTAATTGCAAGTAGATAAGCGGTTAGTTTACTATTATGATTATTAAGTTGTAAGTCACATTGGTAGAAGAAGACATTTCCCTTACCTTTCAAAGGCCCACTTAAGACACTTTGCTTTTTCTGTTTGTCGTAACTGTACTTGTTGCTTCTAATAGTGTGGTTGGTTTTACTTGCTTATATTAATTGCAGGTTGGCAAAAAGGTGGAACATGCTTCAAAATCTCCTAGTACTCTTGCAGGACTGTTTTTCCAGCATGCAGGGCATAGGTTTGTGATTGTTATTCCGTTTCTCTGTTATAGCTTGTATTTGGACTTTTAAAAAAAAAACCACATCATCTATGTTGTAGTCCCGATATGCTTTTTGCATTCTTTCATCTCTTTGTTTTTTTTCCATTTTTATTTTCTTATAGTGGTATCTCTATCCTTTTGGATTTGCACCATTAATCCGGATTCCTTAATGATCTTTGCTGCATATAACTACAAGTATCATATGAAACATGTATATCTTCCATTTGAGTATGTTGAAAGCTTTAACGCCTTGTCTATAATCCAGCAATGCTCTGTTGAGTCCTGGAGGAAATTTTAATGTTCCACGTAATAGGGACCTACATGAGGTTTCTTTTATTGAAAGAAAGAAAGAGTTTGTACAATAATAAAAAACTAGCTAATTGAGATTTCGTGAAACTCGAATCTCAGGGCCTGTCTAGATCATAACAGAAAGTTTTTGCTTCCTCACAAACTGAGTTTTGTTTTTTGAGGACAAGTTCCTTAAGTTCATTGAAGACCATGTATTTTATTGTTATTGCACTGAATTTAGCATTCTTGATATATGATTTGAGTTCAAATTTAGGCAACATGTCAAGAATTTGTTTTTAGAGTTTTTCTAATCATTTTCACCTGATTTTCATAACTTCTTCTATCTTTTAATTTTTGTATAGGGATAAAGTCGTTGATTTCCATTGGAATGCATCTGATCCGTGGACCATTGTTAGTGTGTCTGATGACTGTGATTCCACTGGTGGAGGAGGGACATTGCAGGTACAATTATTAGTTTGACATTGAAATGTTCTTTGTGTGTAAAATATTGCTTATGGTACCGGGTATTTTACTCATCGGTATTGCTGGCTGGTAAAGACATTTGTTTTCATTTACCGTTGATGTTTTGAAAGAACTCTATTTTCACATATCGACTTTCAACAGCCCGATTGTCGCTTCTTTCATTGTAACTCGGCACTTGTTTTCTTCCAAGAAGAGAAATGCCTTAACTTTGAATGAAATCACAATTATCGATATGCTAAACGATGCTGATCTGCACAGATATGGCGCATGAGTGATCTGATTTACAGGCCAGAAGATGAGGTTTTAGCCGAGCTGGAGAAATTCAAGTCCCACGTCATTTCTTGCACGTCATCAAAGCCATGAGAGATGCCATCAGAAGGAAGAATGCCAGAATATTTCGGGGTAGACTTGTAAGTTGCGCCAAATTCCTCTGTTGTAAGCTTATTTATGTGGGAGAAATTTGGATCAGTATGCCATTGTAGCCTCATCGTTAGTTGACTGTAGATTTTCAGATATTAAAGTATTCTAAACATATATTTACCATTTATTCTGTGAGTGTTGCACTGATTTATGAGTAATGTTGAAGACCATGGGACTGTTAATGAGGCAAGGAACCATTGAATTCTACTATGGTTTGAAATATTGAATGAATCCACCCATAGTAGTGGGGTGAATTTCTAAAAAAATGTAATTCAAGTTAAATTCACATAATTCATAATTGCTTTAAATTTGAATTTGGTTTATCGTCACATTAAACCCGACATTAGTATCCAAATTTAATAAATCAAAAACAAATATAATAACAAATATGTCAAAAACGAGTAGGTGAACACCCTCAAAATTTTATATTCTATATATTTTTTTATTTTCTATTGAAATTTTATTTTTCTTTTAAAATTTTATAAGTTCGTATTATGAGATATTGAGTTCATCCTTAAAAAATGAGTTAAACTAGGGGGCATGTGTTACAAGTTCGTACTATTTCAAGTACTAAAATGCGATTTAAACAAATAATTAGGATTTTTCAAGAAATTATACCAAAATCTGACCAGGTGAAAGCGCATAAAGTCTTAAACCCTAGCGGCTAAGTGAAACTCTTCCTTTTCCTTCCGTCTGCTTAAAGAAAATGGCTCGCACTCTCAAAAACCCTAAAAAGGCCAAGAGAAAAAGCAAGGTTAGGTTGCGAAAACAAACTCTGAATCTGTTTTCATATTGAGAATTTGTGGGATTATGTTACACTAAATTTGTTCTGTAATTGGTTTCTTGAAAAGGGCTCGAAGAAAGGAGATGGAGCATCAACTTCATCGGTGCCAACGATTCAGCCCAGAGTTTGGCAACCTGGAGTTGACGAATTAGAGGAAGGAGAAGAACTTCAGTGTGACCCTTCTGCTTACAATGCTCTTCATGCTTTTCATATTGGATGGCCTTGTTTGAGGTATTTTTTTAAAAAATTTCTTCTCCATGTCTTGGTGTTTGGTTTCTGATTAAGTAAAGGGAAATCCGGGAAATTGAGAGATTGGGAACGTTTATAAAAGATGTAGAAGGGTTTCTGAAAGTTGCTAAATATATATCTATATATATTGTTTTGCTCCATTGGTTTTAGTTAAGAAATTTTGATGAATTTTGACAGCTTTGATATTGTTCACGATTCGTTGGGTTCGGACCGGAAAGATTTTCCACATACCGTCTATTTTGTCGCTGGGACTCAGGTGAGCTACATCTCTTATTAACTGTTAGATAATCATCATGGGATCAAAGGTGCAAATTTTTTCTTATTTGAACCATTCAGAGGATATAGTTTATATAGGGACATAGGTTCTTACCAAATTTATCAACATCTGTATATTAATGTTAACCTTTTTGGTCTTGCAGGCAGAGAAAGCTTCTTGGAATTCAATTGGAGTGTTCAAAGTTCGTAATATTTCGGGGAAAAGACGTGAACTGGTTCCTACCAAATCTTCAGAGAATGAGCTTGATATGGATGGTGAAAGTAGTGATAGCGAGGATAGTGAAGATGAAAAAGAAGGTGGAGCCGGCTCACCTGTCTTACAGGTAATTTATTGTTTCTTTTGACATCTCTAGTTATATCAACTTTGGGGGTTTATATTCAGACTTGTATTATTCCTATCTTAACTTGTTCTTGTTTAAACCTGCAGTTGCGGAAGGTAGCTCACCATGGATGTGTTAATCGCATCCGTGCCATGGCACAAAATCCTCACATATGTGCATCTTGGGCTGATAGTGGCCATGTTCAGGTCTGAATCATAATCCAAAGATATTACCGAATTAACTAATCCCCCCCCCCAACTAAAAAAAAAGTGAAATTATTAACAAATTTTAGAAAATGTAGAGTTCAGCACGATGAGGAGAGAGAATATGGTGATCATTTCTTGTTGCTTTGCTTTTTGATACATGTTTGTTACAGGTATGGGACTTCACTGCTCATCTGAATGCTTTGGCAGAGTCGGAAACAGAAGGTACACAGGGAAGTTCTTCTGTTTTTAATCAGGCTCCATTAGTTAACTTCCGTGGCCACAAAGACGAAGGCTATGCAATTGATTGGAGTCCTGTTGTTGCTGGAAGACTTGTAACTGGTATGTCTCCTTGGTATTTGTGACATTCTTTTTTCTACTTCTCAGTATTCTTGAGCCATCAATTGCTTTATGGGTTGAAGATGGTTTATGTGAAGCTGATGTTCATCGTGTTTTCTAGGGGACTGCAAGAACTGTATCCACTTGTGGGAGCCTACATCTGATTCAACATGGAATGTCGATGCTACTCCATTCGTTGGACACTCTGCAAGTGTCGAAGACCTACAAGTGTGTAATTGTTTTTTAACTAATGATTGAACCTTTTTCCAATCTTGATCTAGTATCACAATTCCTATTTTCAACTCTTTATTTGCAGTGGAGTCCGACAGAACCTCATGCATTTGTCTCCTGTTCAGTTGATGGGACTATCGCAATTTGGGATATCCGTATAGGAAAGTCACCGGCAGCTTCTTTTAAGGCACATGATGCGGATGTGAATGTCATCTCATGGAACAGGTATATCTGTCTTGATGTATTTACTTAAGCTTTCTTTCAACACATTTCTACCTTATCATCAATTTTTTTACATTGTGCATCCTTGTTAATTTATATAGGCAGGCTAGTTGTATGTTAGCATCGGGAAGTGACGATGGAACATTTTCAATCCACGATTTTAGGTTGCTCAAGGTATGTCTATTGTTGCCTAGGTTAGTGTGATACATTGTTTGATGAAAAAGGGAACCTAAACTTGTATAAATACCTTTGTGGGCTAATTTTTGTATATCTTAAACGTGATTCATCTGGTTTTTGAAGATTTTTTCCAAATTCATCAACAATTCATTTTGCATCCATTTGGTTCTTTTATTATTGTAGGCTGTAATTGAAGTTTTAAGCTTTTGCTTTCCACTGTAACGAACTCTTCTATTGACAGTTTACCGTTGCCATATAATTGATGGCACCGATTGATGTAATTTTTGTGTGGGCAGGATGGCAATACCGTGGTAGCTCATTTCAAGTATCATAAATACCCAGTGACATCCATTGAGTGGAGCCCACATGAAGCCTCCACTTTGGCAGTTTCATCATCCGATAATCAGTTAACGTAAGTATCGTAGTGAACAAACTTGACAGACAAATGCTGAGAATAGGATGTTGGACATATGAAAATCTCTTGCACACAATTTTGTTAATAGATATATCCTCTGCTTCAATTTCCAGAATATGGGATCTTTCATTAGAAAAAGACGAAGAAGAGGAAGCGGAGTTCAAAGCTCAAACAAGTGAGCAAGTAAATGCTCCGGAAGATTTACCTCCGCAACTTCTTTTTGTTCATCAGGTACTTAATCAAAGTATTGAAGTTGAAGATGTTAATGGTCTTTCGGCATCTTTTCAACATATTTTCCGATGTGAAACAGGGGCAGAAGGACTTGAAAGAACTTCATTGGCATGCTCAGATTCCAGGAATGATTGTATCAACTGCGGCTGATGGTTTCAACATCCTGATGCCTTCAAATATACAGAGTACTCTCCCATCCAATGGCTCTTGAATCAACGTCTAATCCGAAGCATATGTGAAATTTGGAGTATGAGCATTTTTTTTCCTTGATAAGTTCAGTATGCTCTGAATATTTATTTTGTTTTGTCATGTGAAGAAATAATCATGTGTTAATTTTGGGCAACTGTTGATTGAAACGTTCACAATAGTTTTGTTTTATGACATCTTTTTATTTTATATTTGATTAAACAAATATCAAATTTGGAGATCTGTTTATCTGCATGATAGGCTGAAGGATTTTAAGTCAGCAAGCAGCCATAATAAAGGTAAAAGAGTGTTGTTGCCGAAGAGGAAACCTCTTTATTGATCAATCCAATTAGTTTAGTTGATTGGACCCATCAAATTTAACTAAGCATAAATGGAAATGTGAGCAGCAGTTGAAATATTTCTGTTTCTTCCACCTCAACCCACCATAAAAAAGAAACAACAAGCGAAAACCTTCAAATTATTACTTGTCCTTCTCCAGATGAGTATGCGTCCATTGACAACTTTATGGCTGCATCAAATCCTCTGCAATACTACAAATAGTAGAGCCGTTTTTGAACTCCGAAAAAGCTGATGATAGCTATAAACTGCTGCAAAACACAAAAGCCAACACCAATCCATACGGATCGCTCTCCCTTTTCTAATTTCATTCCGGTTAATATGCCTTTACTACCCAACTATCACTTTTCTTATGTTTTGATTTCACTCAATTATTCCGGTTAATAATACTTCCTTTTAATCATTTCAAGCTTTTCCTAGAGATAGTTTGAAAATACGAATGTAGGTAACATAGCTGTCTGTCTTGGTTCTTCTTGAATTATCAGTAGCTCAATTGTCAGCTTCAGGCTTGTATGAGATATTTGGTAAATTTCATTGTCTGCATCGGATATGGTTATGGAGTATGATGTTTTAAATAAGTTAGTGCACCTGTATCGGATGTCGGTTATAGACCTCGACACTTAGCCAAATCTGAATCCTTTTAACATAGGATGTCCTGAAAAGTTCTTCCAGAATTATCACTAGTAATTGTATTCAGCAAATTACTATCAGGGTATTTGAGACAAAATCCATAGCAATTCAATGTATTTGTGTTTTTTATTAGGAAAAGTACCAGGAAGATCATCCTGGTAACTAGTTGAGGTAGAATATTGTTTCTGACGTTTTTTTTATATTCGTATTTGACATTCATATCTAATATATATTTGGATATGAATACAAAGATTCGAGTACACAACTCTATTGTTAATAAATTCATATTCTAAGATTTAGGTGGTTTTATTGATATTTTTTTGATGAAGTCATCAAATTTGCTTTGAGTGGATGAGCTTATTAAATACTTTTCATAATTTTATAATCTTGATTCGGGTGGTCTATTTAAGTTAGATTTGATAAAATTACTGACGTAAATGTGAAATAACAACTACCTTCCATGATAGACTTAAGTATGAAAGAATAACTACTTTCTACGAAAGACATTGATCATGGGTAGCAACGTTCATTTTCTGGTTACATTGATCCAGGCAAAATCACTTCTAAAATAATAGATATGTGACACTATATCATATTTTTTTTTCGTATTTTCTTTAAGTATCATTATTAATTATTTAATTTTTGCACGTCTTATTTCTCAAAAAGTACCATATAAATTATTGATTTTTTATAGTAGATATTGTAACTTTAGGGTAAGAATAGAGTTTTTTTTAAGTATTAGATGATTACAACATAATATTTGTTCATATTTTTCTTAACCTATTGATAATGTATATTCACTTTATAGACACAATTAGTTGAATCTATTACCAATGGATGAATTCGGATAAGAATTAAGTTACGAATGAAATTGGAACTAATTATATAACAACTTTATCTTAATCTAAAACACTTAACTGAGATAGGATTACCTCTCGCCATTAATTTGAAGAACAAAATCCAGCTCTATGTTATATTTTGTTGCATAAAACTTAACTCAAATTTAGCAAATTACGAATAATCAATTCTCTCTCTTTAATCATCCCTCTTTCTTCTTCATTTGACATTAGCCCTTCAAGGCCAAAGCTCTCTTCATATCAGCTTGGTTTCAACAAAAATGACAACATACGGAACCATTCCGGCAGAGCTGCCACGGCCGTCGTTGAGCATGATTCTCCAAGCTCGAGAACAGATAGGACCGATTATCGGGTCGCGACGAAAATGGGAAGACATGATCAAGATCCATTCGTTAAATTTACCCCCGAATGTGAACGAAGCCGCTCGACGAATCCAAACCAACGTTCTGTTCTTCAAGACGAACTACGTGATCGTCGTGGCGCTTCTCCTCTTCCTCACCTTGCTCTTGCACCCTGTCTCGTTGATCATCATCACTATCATAGCCGGGGCGTGGCTTCTACAGTACTTTTTGAGCGACAATCCTCTGTCGATTTACGGCTTCGTGATCGATCGTAGCACGATCATCACGGTCCTGACGTTGTTTACCATAACCATGGTTTTTCTAACCGACTTGATGAATAATATCATGACCGGCATTTTCTTCGGATTTTTGCTCCATGGATTATTCAGAACTGTTGATGATTTGGCTGCCGGAGATGAGAAAGGTGTTAATGGATCACAAAGTTAATGCACCATTTGTGGTGGTAGCCACCGCCTACTCCATTGAAGAACGTTGTCCCCTCTTGTATTCCTCTATTGTTTTTCAAATTTGGAACCATACGTGTAAAATGAAAAGAAGTCATCGTTTGCTGTTTAACTTTAATTATATTTTCATATAAAATCTTTATATATATATATATATATATATATATATATATATATATATAAAGAAGGCATCTCCCATTCTCCCTCCTATAGAAAAAAAGAAGAAGAGGAACTAGAAGAAGAGGAAATCTCCTCCAGTATCACAATAAATTTTATAATGACTCTTAATGTTAATGTTAAATTTAGGATTATTATGGTTACCTGTCATTAACAGGGTGTATAAATATGATTGTTTGATAATAAGTTTGACTCTGATAAATCACGTGAGCTTTTTAAGAGATCATGTCAAAAGATTATATGACTATCAAATAATATAAATATATAATGGACTCCATTAATAAAAAAAATTATTTTAAATACTTTGATGTATGACTTACGAAAAATATATGAAAAGATATAACAATCTTAAATTTTATAAATTATTTTAGGAAAAAGCTACGATCATAAGAATTTATCACAGTTAATTATTTTCTTTCTTTTCCATTGTTTATCTAGATAAAGCTGTTAAAATGAATTTCGTTTCTTTCATTAAATTAAACTATCTAAATAAAACAGTATATAATCATTCCATTGTTACTTGCAATCCAAATATAGTTTAGGAATCTATCAACTGCTTTTAATGGTCGAATGGAGTGTTATTTCTCCAGAGGTTTTAGGTTTAATTTTTGAGTTTGAGCAATTGTTTATATAAGGTGTGTACGTTATAAATGGTTAAAAAAGATTCTGAATAGATATTACCTTGTAAATATCCAAAACTATTCAAATATATATATATAATATAGTTTAGTGATCTTAGTGGTAAAAGAGAATGTTATTATCCATAAAAAAAATTTGAATTTAAATAATTGTATCTATAAAATATATGTACATTATTAATAAATTAATAAAATTTTAAATAAATAATATCTTATAATATTCGTAAACCATTTAAAAAAAACTTGATCTACGAGAGAAGTGATCTTATAAGATTGGACAACACAACTTTTGGGCATAGTAAACTATGAGCCCAAAATCATAATCCTTTCTGGTGTATAAGTTCTAACTTGAAAACTACACCCCAACTACTTTAATTGTGCGATAACGACTCGGTTAAACGCAATGCGTTCATCACACGCGATATTGTTGAGCGCGTAGAGTAGGATCAAAACCTTATTTTTGTGGGTGAAGTACATCTAACCTCCGTTTTCATTTTTTTAAGCCAACTATTTTTCCCCCAACAAACCAGAGAAACGAAAAGGTGAAAGGCGCGAATCGAATACGCTTCACTCTTTGTTTTGCTATCTTACGCTTCTGCTACTTCTTCTACCCTTTTATGCACCATTTTCATTCACTTTGTTTTTCTCTCTCACACACAAACACCCCGGAAATGGGGAGGGGACTCGCGGCTCTCTTCTTCATTTGCGATCTCTTTGTGTTATTGGCTTCCGTCGCCGCCATTGACGGTCAGTCGGCGGCGGAGATCAATGTCACTGCCTCTCTGTCCAATGTCTCGGACCCGAGATCCAGAGAGGATAGTTTCGCCGGCATGATCGATCGCGCTCTTGAGAAGGAATTCAATGACACTGACCAAAATGGAGGTCTGTAACAGATCTAAACTCTCTCTCTGTCTCTCTTGCACCTGCATTGTACCTTTGTTTCTGTATCAATGGTGGCTGTGTTGAGCCAGGCTTTTGAAGTCCGTGGATCAGCTTTTATTTCACTCAGTTTTTCTTAATTTTGCAATTTTTTTCTTTAAAATGTTTAATTTTGAAAATTTCCGTTTAGGTTTTATTTTTCTCGTACATTTGGCAGTATTTTATTTATTTGTAAGCATTTGCGTTGAACATTTTAAAAATTGCAGTGAAAACTGAAAATGAGAAGTAGAATATGAAATTCATTTCTCTATTGTAAGTTATAGAATAGAGATATTAATTCGTCTCTTCTAGTTTGAATTATTGAATTCTTACTGTTTTTTTCTTTTCTTTTTTTGCAGCCACTGATCCTGATAGTTTCAACAATAGTGTTGCGGGGAAGCAGGTATGTGGTAGGCTAGTTATATTTTTTAATAATGTTATCCATTTTCTATGACCTTTAGATTCGAATGTGATTAAGCACTGAAAAGTAGAGATTCTTTTATGCGTTACATCTCTCAACATAGGAATCATGTAGAGGCCGGCTGTTGGCTGTTTTTAAATTTCAATCTTGACTTTAGCGTTTAAAGGACCTAAAGTTGAAAACCAAATCTTGGATTAGATGGGATTAGTTATAACTTCCATTCTAGTTTCCAAGCGATAGAAATTTTGAGATCAGAATGCAGAATCATGCTGCCTCTTGTAATAATGATGAGCGTTTACTTGTCTGCTTATGAATTTTCCATAGACTATTAAAGAAGCAGTGCTGATAACTTATTTTGTTTATTTTTGTTAGGCCGTCTTGGAAACTGTTGCTAGAGTTAAGTCCAAGAAAAATGAGACCAAGGAAGAGAAGTAAGACTTAAAACAGTACCTCTTCTGCTATTGTAGGCCTTTTGCTTTGTCTAACCCACATTACTGGATGGCTTACATTTTTTTGAGCCGTATGTCAGGTTGTTTCAGCTCCATGACGTCTTCCATTTAGATGATGAAAACCGAGCAGATGATGCACCAACATTGATAGATAGAAATGTATGTCTCGTAAAAGTCTCCAGAAACTCCTATTTAGTTGATAATTTGCCTTGCTGTTTATATTGAGTTATGATAATGCTGCCTGAAGCAATTTTATTTTTAGTGTAGTTATATTTTAAGTACATTACATGTTGACCATGTTGGCAAACTTCTCTACAGGACAATGTCTTTATAATATCTAACCCAAAGTCAAAGTATCCTGTTCTACAACTAGACTTAAGGTTATACTTTTATTGTATATTTTATGCATTTACTTTGATCCATTACAGTGGTAATGAGACCTACGTTAATTTTCTAAAATCCTTGTGCAGATTAATATCGGATCTGATAATTGTCATTGTCTCTGCTACATGTGGTGGCATTGCTTTTGCTTGTGCTGGACAACCGGTATTGCTTTTGTGCCTTACATTTTCTTCTTTCTATTAGTTTTCATGGTTCATCCTTCACAACAATGTTATGGTTATTATATCTATCTTTAGTCTCTTCTTAAAAGCTTTGTAAAACTTGGTCTTCTCTTAAGGAGATTCTTACCCTTGCATTTTGAAATTTCAGGTTATTACTGGATATCTGCTTGCTGGATCTGTTATTGGGCCTGGTGGGTTTAGCTTTGTTGGTGAAATGGTGCAAGTATGTTGCTTCCACTTTGATGCTAGTGGCTGCTACTTGCTTTTATCTTGGGATACTAATTGCTCCAACTATCATTACATTTGTTTGGATGAGACATCAAGACATATGAAGTGGGGTTAAAGTTGGTTTGCAGAATAAAGCAGGATATTATCTTAAGTTTTCTCCTATAACAAATTTTTTTGGCCTTGGAGGGGTGGGGGGGGGGGGTAATGCATTTAATCATCGGGCTGCCCTATTAAACCCTTAGAGGAGAGCAGAGAAATGGAGGATTTTAGGGCACTTGATGATTGAGTTAGATAAAATTCCAACTCATTTTAGACTCTTAAAATTATTGATGCTCACCAAGGCTTTTGTTTTATAATAAACAGGCATTCCTATTTAAATGTTTATCGAAACTAGCATAAGTAATCCTTCTAAGCCTATGACTATGAGCATGATGTGATAGCTAGCTACTATATTTACTTGCTACTGCAAGAACTGAAAACCTATTGTCTCCCTGCACCGATTCTTGTAACAAATGTATGTGAATTTTTTAAGAATTCAAATTTGGTTAAAATATATTTCTAATGTTCCTTCTTGTTTAATATTTGCTTGCATGCATGGGTTCCTAGATATGCATAGACATGGTAATAATAGGCATGCTATTACCCGTACAGTTGTGCTTCTGTAGGCAAACAAAACAATCTTATTAATTCTTTTATTAAATAACTTCACTTACTATGTCCATATCTTTATTGGCATATGCATTTAGGTTGAAACAGTGGCTCAATTTGGTGTAATCTTTCTTCTTTTTGCTTTAGGCTTGGAGTTTTCAGCAACAAAGGTTTGTTTGTTGCCTCATACTATCCCTATTAGATTCATTTCTACGACACAATAGTACTCACCTTGTAACATTTCTGGCAGCTTCGCGTTGTTCGAGCAGTTGCTGTCCTTGGAGGTCTTCTCCAAATTTTCCTGTTCATGTGCTTGTGCGGTATAACTGTATCGGTATGTCTGCTCTTATTAGAAAATATATATATATGTTTGATGGGAAGTTCTACAGTGCGGCACCCTTAATATACAACTAAAAAAAAGCGTTACCGATTTTGTTATTATTTAAATAACAAAACCGGTAAAAAATTACCTAAAACATTATTATTTCTACCTAAAACATCAATGTTTTTTAACATTTCCGGTAAAGTGCTCAACAATAACAAAACCGGTAGAAAAATAACTAAAACGCCCAATAATAACAAAACCTGTAGAAATAATAATGTTTTCGGTAATTTTAGTCACGGGTCTAGACGTGGAAGAATTTCTGCTCTGACCTATGGTTAATCAGAGAGGCAGATTCATTCTTGACAGAACCCCCTCTAAGAATAACGTTTTTTTCTTAATAGAGTAATTGCTTGTCTTCTTTATTCAATATTGGTGGCAGCCTTTAATAGGCCTTTAGTGACAAAGGAAATAATCCTAATGGAAATAAAATAAAGATCCCTAACATATAGGATCTTGACTAGCAAGACAAGTTATAAAGGAAAGATCTAATGTAATAGAGGAAACAAATAAAACTCTAATTTACTGTCCTCGATATATTTATTGCCTTCCTTCTCTGATATTGCTTTCAAATAAGGCATCCACATCAATACTCCCCTTCTCGATATTGAGGTTGTCCTCAAGCTCATATTCAGGATAAGCTTCTTGTCTAAGTCGTGGAACTACCTCTGGAAACTACCCTCGCCATAGTACCTCCTTTCTGTTTACAATAAATTTCATCGTCAGAGAGTTGAAGTCCCATAAAATCGGACCAAGAGTACACAACCATTTCACCCCCAAAATCATATCAAACCCCTCTAGAGGTACAACATAAAAATCAGCTTGAAAGTTGTCATTAGCAACCATGAACTTTGCTGATTTGCAAATACCCATGTTAGGCACTCTCTCTCCATTAGCCATACAAACTTGCAGTCCAAGTTTTTCCCATACTTCCAATCCCAACCTTGGCACCAAACCTTCATGTTAGAAGTTGTGTGTACTACCCGAATCGACGAGTACTAGCACTATAACTCTCGACAGCTCTGCTCTCAATTGCAATAGTAGAAGAATTACAAGTCATGCTGATGGCATGTAAAGAAATTTCTTGATCTTCCACATCATTATCTTGCTCATCTTCAGTCTGGTACTTCAATCCAAAATAACCTTTTACATTTGTGTCCTAAGGAATAAGACTCATCACAATTATAGCATAGCCCCTTAGCCCTTCGTTTTGCCATTTCTGTTTATATCAATCTCTTCATAAAGGGTGCGAACAAACTTACTTTGTTGATGTTTCCCATTGGTTTCGTTGGTTGTCCCTCTCCCTTTTTATTAAAGCTCTTAGTCGTTGGAATGATCGGATTGATGTCAGTGTTTTGGGAAGTTGGCCAATTCAGGTTGGTTCGAGATGAAATTTTTGAACAGACCTTTTGTTTACGTTCTAGTACTCGAGTCATGTTCATTGCAACTCCAAGGTTTCCTGGCTGTTGCATCTCAATATCGATTTTGAGTTCCTCTACCAATCCAGCAATAAAGAGATCTATTCGTTGTTTCGGTTTAAGATCAGAAGACCTAGCCAATAGTGATTGAAATTGGCTTTGGTATTCCTCTACAATCCCGGTTTGTTTCAGGTTGGCAAGTTCCCCAAAGGGGTTATTACTCATAGGTGGCACAAACCTCACATGACAATACTCCTTGAAACGTTCCCAATCGAGGCATGCCTCCTCTTCTTCCATTTGATCAAACCATAGTTGTGGGCCTCTCCTAAGAGATGAAATGCCGCTAAGCCTACCTTGTCATCCTCATTAGTCTGCTAATTTCCAAAGAATTTCTCGCACCGTTTCAGCCATCCTAAAAGATCTCCAACACCATTATAGGTGAGAAATTTCATCTTAGAGTATTGTGGCACCATAGACCCACCTTGTTGTGAGTCTAAAGTCCCCTTTTTTCTTTCGCTGTTGCCTTGTCCTTCAGTATTCCTGACTGAGTACCCTTTCTTAGCCGTCTTTTGGATCGAATGAGATAACGCAACCATCTGCTCCTCTAATGCTTGCTGCCTTGTAGTCATTTGTTCCATGAAAGCACTCAGCTTTTTTGTCAAATCCTCTACGTCACCCATGACAGTCGGCTCTGATACCAAGATGTTATGAACCTTAGCGTAGGATCTAGTCACGAGTTTAAACGTGGAAGAATTTCTGCTCTGACCTATGGTTAATTAGAGAGGCAGATTTGTTCTTGACAGAACCCTCTCTAAGAATAACTTTTTTCTTAATAGAGTAATTGCTTGTCTTCTTTATTCAATAGTGGCAGCCTTTAATAGGCCTTTAGTGACAAAGGAAATAATCCTAATGGAAATAAAATAAAGATCCCTAACATATAGGATCTTGACTAGAAAAACTAAAGTTATAAAGGAAAGATCTAATGTAATAGAGGAAACAAAAAAACTCTAATTTACTGCCCTCGATATATTTATTGCCTTCCTTCTCTGACATTGCTTTCAAGTAAGGCATCCACATCAGTTTTCTTCTTAGGTAGTCATGGCTAATATGATTGAACATCATATCTTTTGCATACCACTTTCTCCCGATCTTTCTTCTCCCTTTTCTTTTCTTTCTATTGAATACCACATTATAGCGTTACCTATGAGTCTATCGGATAGACAACTAGTAAATTTTCAGATCGACTCTGTCCCATTTTATATTTCACTGTGCAACACTAAACTTACTGCATCCAGATGTTCCACATACATGTTGAAATATGCTGTTAGGTTTTATTTACTTGGATGCTAAAGGTTCCATGTTCACCTGGCCCCATGTGCAAAAGATAAACAGTCACCGCTGTGGGGTTGGCTTGAGCATGTATTACTGGTCTCTCCAGTTTTTCTCCATGGTTACTTTACACTCGCATTAGTGGTATGTGCTCCAAACAGGAGGTGGTGGTATTATATTTCAACATTTAACTTCAGAAGCTGTGAATTATACCTTTCCTATGTTTGTGATTTATCATTTATGTACTCGAGTTATAAAACATCTGGTGCAAAGTGAGCATTAGTCAATTTTTGTTTGGGCCTTTGGCAAGATATCATCTACTCATTTTTACCTGTTGGGTGAGGACCTACTCAAATTTTTATTCAGTTAGACATGTCGACTATAGGGATTTTTTTTTATTGGAGAAGATACGCTGGTCTGTTTTTTTTTTATCATGATCTAGTTTTATAGTATATTCCTACGATATTGCTCAGAGTGTTATAAAAGTTTTTGATAGATGCAGCTACATGCTTTTTGCAGTTATGCGGGGGTAAAGCTTCAGAGGGGGTTTTTGTTGGTGCATTCCTGTCTATGTCTTCTACAGCTGTGGTAAACCTCTATGAACTTCATGTTCTTGGATTGGTGAAAACTTTTAGAGAAAAGTGCTTATTCAAGGAAACATTTTTACAAATGTTTTGCTTTGCATATACGTTAGTCTCCTTTTACTATTATGATGACTGCTTTGTCTACAATTCTCCCAGGTTTTGAAATTTTTGATGGAAAGGAATAGTATAAGTGCTCTTCATGGTCAGGTTACAATTGGAACTCTTATCCTACAGGTATTTATTTTCTCGGTCACCATATCAGTTAAAAGAATATTTACTTGTTGCACAGATTGAAGTTTTGTCATGGCTGGCAGGACTGTGCTGTAGGTTTGCTGTTTGCTTTACTTCCAGTTCTAGGTGGCAGTTCTGGAGTTCTTCAAGGAGTATTATCCATGACTAAATCGTAAATAAAATAATCTCTAGGATCAGCTCTTTTTTATTCAGTTGAGGCAAATATCATTACAGTTTGTAGGTTTCTAATAATAGATTTCCTCCTTTGATTTTGCAGGTTGGTGGTTTTAATCACTTTTCTGACCATTTTGACAATAGCATCCTGGACTTGTGTGCCATGGTTTCTTAAGCTCATGATAAGCTTATCATCACAGGTAATGCGCCTTACTTTTTTTTTATAAGATTTGAAGGCCTCATTAAAAACCACCTTCTTGATTAATGGAGTTAATGTGTAAACTCCTTAATCAGCTGAAGATGGAAAAGAGTGCCTTATAACTTTATTGAATAAAGTAGGAATTACAGCCTAGAGGAAGAAAACCCAATAACTCTTACAAATAATCACTCGAAAACAAAATACATAAAATTCAGCCTATACCAGCTTTTGCTAAGGCATCAGCCTCCATGTTAGCTGTCCTTGTAACCCATCTAACAAATCCCCCACAAAACCTAAGTTTAACAACTATATCTTTAACAATATAAGCATACACAGCTGGACAAGAATCAACTATAATAATCCAGTCCACAGTTACCCTGCTGTCACTCTCAACAATCAAAAGAAATTTTTCCCTCCCTTGGATAGATGAGACGAAAACAAGTCCCCTTTGAATAGCTTTAAGTTCCTTCAAAGTTGGAGGACCCGGACCCTCTGACTCCTGAAAAGTTCCTAATATTGCACCAAGATGATCCCTTAAAATGCCTCCCAACCCACTTTTCTTCCAATCACTACTAGTGGCAGCATCCACATTCAGTTTAATGAAGCCTATAGGAGGAGGACACCAGGGAAAATTAGAAGACTTGAGGAACTTGTAGGACGAATGGGAATCCCCTATTGAAGGGTCCGAAATCAACGAGTCTTTAGGCATAGAGATATCCTTATACTTAGCTAGGAACCAAGATGCAAGCCTGACTCTTGCTAAAAAGAATAATTCAATCTGGTCCAACTTCCCCCCTTCAAAAACAATTAAATTTCTGGTTTTCCAAACGGTCCAAATAACAACCCTAGGAATGAATGACCATATATAATGTGCCTTACTTTTCAGTTCTTTAATCTATGTAAACATTTTATTAACGCAAATATTTATTTGCACAGACTAATGAGCTCTATCAGTTGGCATCCGTGGCATTTTGCTTGCTTGTTGCTTGGGTTTGTTCATTTCCTTCTTACATCTTGCATTGTAATTAATTTTTGCATCTAATTGCAAAATAAATATCAGAAAAGATCTGTCCTTTTGTTGCATTGAGTGCTGCAACTACTGTACTTGCAACTTTTCCCCCTAACCAATATGACACATGCACCTTCTTATCCAGTTAGCAATTCATGTGTAACATAACATAGCTTATTGTGATACTCCAGTGTAGCGATAAGCTGGGTCTAAGCCTTGAGCTGGGTTCCTTTGCTGCCGGAGTGATGATATCAACCACTGATCTGGGCCAACATACACTTGAACAAGTAAGATTTCTAGTTTTATGTACCCTTTTCAATGCCTGATTTACACGTAAGATGTAAAAATAGTTTAGTTTCCTACTTAAAAGCCAACTGTACATGAGCTCATTAACAATCTTTACACAGAGCAAATACTGCAATCACTTTCCACACTCAGTTATCAGTCTTAATGTTATTGAATCAGCTTAAGGCAATTATTCATGGTGTAAGACGAGTAGTTCCCATAGAAAGATATTTAAAAATCCTGCCTGTACTAGTTTTGCAGTCAGCTAAGTTTTGTGTCCATCAGGCACTGTTTTAATCCTCTTGTTGCGGCATCTAAGGTTTTAGTTGGTATTTTCTTGTTACCGAGCTTATTTTCTTCAAGTTTAATTTGTTTTATGATATATGCTTGAGAGCATTATTGTTAATAGTAGTGAAGTTCTCAGTGTATCTTCACTTCTTTTTGTTATTCATTTTTGTTGTTAGTACTGTGAACAATATATCAACATGATCCCAATACAAGATAGTATGTTACTATGGTTCTTGCCCTTTTTGCATTGATTCGTTGTTAATACTTTTTCTAACCAATAGAATTTTGCTTGGTTTTTCCTCCTTGCATACAGGTTGAGCCCATTCGCAATTTCTTCGCTGCCCTTTTCCTTGCCAGTATTGGGATGTTGATTAATGTGCATTTCCTTTGGAATCATGTTGATATATTGGTAGCTGCTGTAATATTGGTGATTGTTATTAAAACAATGGTAGTTGCTGCAGTTGTCAAGGGATTCAGATACAGCAACAAAACGTCGATTCTTGTATGAGTTGGGCATACTTCTAATATTTATGTTTTACATTTTTTAGTAAAGGGGCCTTAGTTGCTTTAAACCTAATGTGTAGGTGGGGATGTCGTTGGCCCAAATTGGGGAATTTGCTTTTGTACTCTTGAGCCGTGCTTCTAATCTTCATCTAGTTGAGGTTTGTACTCTGTTGCTTTAATCTTCTAATAATTGAAGTTACTACTATGTCTGACACTCTCTCTATTACCCCCATCTTCGGGCCACTTTGAGGATGTCAAGTCTCTCAAGTCGACTGATGAATTTACTAAACTAAGAATTGTCGTTAATGTTATTTTCATCATATGTGCTTATCTGAAAATAAGTACTTCGTTTTGTTTACTTTTTCTTTTATATTTTCTTTCTATAGCTTCCTTGCTGACAACAATGTTGCTAAATTTTTGTATTGCTTCAGGGTAAACTTTACCTGCTACTTCTGGGCACAACAGCTCTTAGTTTGGTATGTAAGCCTTTGAATGTGGCTGCATAATTGCATCAGCATTTGGCTTTATATTCTCTTCAAGATTTTTTTTTTAACTTTTTAGAATGCAATGAGAGGGTAGTTTGAAAAGGGACAACTGCAATAAAGTCTTGCTGCAGTTACATTTTCTCTTATAAGTTCTCTAACAATATCCTATCAGAAACAATGCAATTAGTTTTAGCATTTTCTGATCTTTTACTTTTAGATTCCTCATTTAGCTGCCATAAGCCAATTTCTTGAAGTTTATTTTATTTATATTAGCATTCTCCAGTAAAGTAATGAACTGCATTTCAAGATTCAGTTTGTACTCATAAAATTAACTTGACAGGTGACGACTCCATTGCTTTTCAAGCTGATTCCAGCCGTTGTTCATCTCGGTGTATTATTGCGGTGGTTCCCAGCTGACGGTCCTTCTGAGGTAAGCAATCTCTGCCTTTGAATATGAACTTCGTAGAATAATAGTATCGATAGCATATCATGGAAGAGAGGGTTGCACTTGTTATAATTTTTAATTTTATTTTATTTTTATGTAATATCTTGTGGGAACAAGTGTTTTGAGGCTATGTTGAATATGATTCTCCTCCCAGATTGGTTTGAAAGGAGATAGTCTTCGGGCAGACAGCACGAAGCGTATTACTTTGCTGGTCCAAGGCTCTCATGATTCATGATATTAAAATAAATACATGAACCGAGAAAAAAAGCCTTTTACCTGATGAGGTTCTTATACTCTGGAGGACAGGTGTTTAAACGTGCAAAAAAGCAAGTCGATTGAGTGAAGGGATTCTTTTCCAGTTCCAAAGCTGTTCATACGGTAAGCGAATTTATATGAATTTCCAAGTAAGCAAAGATGGGTGGTGGAAGAGCAATATAAATATGATTCTCCTTGTCCTTGTGCGCTGCGTGCCTAATGCATTCTGATATTTGGTTAAATGACCTTTGTAAAATAGCAACCATTTATAAGGTATTCATTTCAATCTTACCCCTTTTTCTCCACTTCAGTTGATTTGTCCCCCCCCCCCTCAACAGGAATTGCAAGTGTATTTCTTCATATTCCCCTTATTTTATTTTACAAGATCTTTTATATATACGAGCTGCACCCTGAGCTTGTAAAATAAATTTTTGTTTCGCATAGTAAATTGAACGGTTTTTTTTGTTGGTATCAGTGTAATTTTTCATGGTGTGATTCAGAGGTGAAGAAAATATAGGAAAAAGGATTAATATAAAAGTAAGTGTTCAAATTATACCGTTTTTCTTAAAAGAGTGTAAATTTTTTTCCGATTAATCCAGGTGCCTAATATTACAAACACTACCACTTTAGGTGTCTTGACTGTAACAGTCGTTGAAAATCACCGTTAAGTAACACATGTTATGTTCTAATAATTTTGAAAATTTTATTTATAACATAAAAATACTTAAAATTATATTTTTTTAAAAAGCCCAAAATTTTTAAAAATCTTAAAAACCTTCCCCAAACTTTAAAAACCTTAAATATAATCCTTATACCTACACATATTGCCTCCCATTGTCGTCGTTTTCGTCGATTGGTCCTCCAATCGGTCGTGCTTTGATCGGCATCCAATAACCCAATGAAAAATCACCATAATAACAGACGAAGAACTATTAAATCATGACGATCAACTACCACAATGAACCTAAATCGTGAGCAGTTGGGTGATCGGCTAGTTGCAAAAATAAGGGGTTTTGGTGGTCGGTGGTTGGTCGGTCACATATCGTTGGATGGTTGACCGATTGACGGAAGTGGTGGCGGCTGACTATGGCAAAAGATTGAAATTAGGGTTTTAAAAGTTTTAGGGTTTTTTTTATTTTAAAAATTATTTAAGTTTCTATTTAAATAAAATTTTTAAAATTCTATAAATGTGACATGTGTCCTTTAACGGCCGTTACGATCCGAGTACCTAAAATTGTAACGTTTGTAACGTTAGACATCTAGATTGACCTAAAAAAAGTTTAGACACCACTTTAGAAAAAAAAAACAATATAGTTTGGACACTTATTTTTATATTATGTCTAGTAAAAACAAAGGTTCATTTATTTTGTTATTCTCACTATGGAAAATTCTACAACGCACATCGCATATCGTAAAGTACCATTAAAGCAACGTACTGAAACACACCACAAACAAATTTGTCTTTATTATATAAATATTAAAAAATATAAGGATTTATTTAAAATTAGTCATTTATTAAAAATTAATTATAATTTTAATATAATTATAATTAAATTATATATATTTTAGGGTAAACTACATGTTTAGTATCTAAACTATCACTTTTGTTCCGATTTAGTACTTCAACTTTCATTTTTTTCAAAATCATACTTATTGTTTATTTTTTATTTCATTTTAGTATCACACCATTAAAAAGTTAACGACACATCTATCTTGGTATTTTCTATTTAGGTAAATTACACGATTAATCACTCAACTACCTTCTCACTTCTATTTTGGTCACTAAATTTAAAAAAAAACAATTTAATCATTAAACTTTCAAATTACTTGTATTTTGATCTCTCTTGATGATGTGGATTATTTTATTATTATAAGTAGTATGACATGACAAATTTATTATTATTAATTTCAAATAGAATTTAAAACCAAAATCCTTAATCTTAATCTTAAATCTTTAAACCCCAAAACCGATCTAAACTCATCCTTAACTTCATCTTCATGAAACAAAGAATACCCAAAAACCCAAACTAGCCCTTGTTTTTTCTTTCATTCCCTTATCTTCCCTTGCATGAGGCAGTGCTACGATTGAGTTAAACTACACAAAAAATAAAAAATAACCTTGCAGTCTATACTTATCTTCATCAAGTTCTTGTTCTTTTTTTATTCTTTTCATTTTAATTTTATGATTAGGCCCGTGAAAGTAAAAAGGGGTAATGCTGCTTTTTGTTTGGTTGGTGATCTAGTGAAATGGTCTTTATTTTGCCCGGAACATGAGAAAATGCAAGAAAATAAATATAAACATAAACCTAGATTTTTTATTTTGTTTTTGTTTCATACTCTTTATCTCTTCTTTATTTTAGTTTTACTTCTTTCTAGAACTACAACATTTTAAGAGGAAATGAGGAAGCATGGATGACAACTTCCTTCTCATCCACTTCATGCGCTTTCCCTTTTATTGTTGTTGTTTTTGTTTTTATATAAAAAAAATTATGAGCTTTTCGTTTTTTTCAATTATGGGTATTGAGCAATGTTTACATCTTTTTAACTTGTCTTTGTGAAGGTGATGGTGATTGATGTATTATTGACACTTAAATTTGTTTCTCTGTGTTCATTTGTTTTCGGTTCGCAAACGATTTTTCAAGGAATTCTTATGAGGTGGTTAGAGGGTGATGTTGGTGTGGTTGGGGTTTGGGTTGACAATTGGGTTTTGGTGATTAAGAGTTGTATTAAAATTATAAATTTGTATTTTTATTTTAAATCTTATTTGATATTAAATATTAATTAATTTATCATGTCATACTAAAAATAATAATAATAATAATATAGTCCGAAGGACCAAACTAGAAGCAATTCAAAAGTTTAATGATTAAATTCAAAAATTTTAAACTTTAGTGATCAAAATATGAGTGAGAAGATAGTTGAGTGATGAACTATGTAGTTTACCCAAATAAAAAAATACCGCATCAGATGTGCCATTAACTTTTTAACGACGGGGTACTAAAATGAAACAAAAAGTAAATGTTAGGTATGGTCTTGAGAAAATTGAAAGTTGAAGTACTAAAACAGAATGAAGTAATAGTTTAGGTACTAAATGTATAGTTTACCCATTTTTGATTAAAAATAATAGGAGCATTTGATTTTTCGACGATTTGAAGCGCTGGATGTTGTAGCAGTTTGTTGAAAACATTTTTGATATTTCGATATAACAAATTAAGTTAAATGAATTTTAAGATTTCACAAATGATTTTACAAATTCGATTCAATTAACCGAATATCAAATTATTACTCCAAGTTTTTCAAGATCAATTTTAATCCTTACTAAATGTGTAAAATTGTGATTTGTACTTAAACTATTTTTGAAACAATTTTCACAAAGTATTTTGAACCAAAAACAAGCCTTAAATCAATTATTCAAAGGCATGCACCGATGCATCAGTCCATGCATCGATGCATCGATGAATTAATTGAACATCGAATGCATTCCATGCACCGATGCACTCTCCATGCATCGATGCACTCTGAATATTTTCAAAACATCGAATGCATTTGATGCATCGATGCACAATCCATGCATCGATGCATCAGGCTATTTTTCAAACATCGAATGCATTTCATGCATCGATGCACACTTGGTGCACCGATGCATCAAGTGTTCCAACGGTCAAAATATTTGAATTTTACACGAATGCACCGATGCATACTTGATCATGCATCGATGCATGAGACGCTCCACATAGAAAAATTAATTGTTTTCACACTTAAACGGCTCTATTATCCCCACTAATTATCACCAACGTTCAGAATTGATTCAAGGGGTATTTAAACAAGTTCTGGAGCCATTGATCAACAACAAGAAACATCAATCAACTAGAATCAAGAGAGAATCAAAGAGAAAGCATCAAACCTCAAGTTTGAGTATTTCAAGCCTATTTTTCATCCAATATTCATTTGCTTTCAAGAACACTTTTGTACTCAATTGTATTTATCCTTGAGTGTTCTTTTCTTTGTTCTAGAATTGTGCAAACATCTTACCTTGTGAGGTTTTCTTGTAAGTTTGCAAATTTGTAATCTTCTCTTTGGGAAAAAGAGTGTTCTCAAGAGTTGGGGTATACTCTTGAGGGATTTTGTAAGGTTATCTCTTTGGCCTCAAAAGAAAGAACAAATTAGTGAATTTGTTGGAAAATCCTTAGTGTGGATAGCTAAGGTAGTGGACGTAGACTTTGTTTGAGAAAGTCGAACCACTGTAAATCGCTGTGCAATTACTTTAAATTTTCTGCAAAAGCTTCCACGGAATTTTTAATTGCCAATTCACCCCCTCTTGGTCGATTCCGTAGATCGATTAACTCAACAATTGGTATCAGAGCCTCACTCATTTGAAGGTTTAATCGCCTCTTGAGTCGATTCGGGAAGAGTTACATCGATTACCAAGTCATCAATGGCCTCCACTTCAAATTACGACTCCGATCTTGATTCGATGCCCGTCAACAAGCCTCCTTTCTTCAATGGAGCTAATTACGCCTATTGGAAGAATAGAATGATGTACTTCATTCAAGCAAGTGACATGGGAGCATGGAATGCCGTAGAAGAAGGATACATCAAGCCTATCACTCATCCAAGGTTGTGGAGTGAAGGAGAGACAAGAATGTTCCAGCTCAACTCCAAAGCCATCCATATTATTTTTTGTGCTCTTGGACCAGATGAATACGGAAGAGTTTCATCGTGTACAACCGCCAAAGAAATATGGGACAAGCTTCAAGTCACACATGAAGGTACATATGAGGTAAAGAAATCAAAAATTAGTATTCTAACGCATAGCTATGAAAATTTCAGGATGAAACCAAATGAAGACATCAAAGCTATGACGGATAGATTTTCAACGATTGTCAATGGTCTCAAATCATATGGAGAGATCATCTCAAATGAAAAGCTTGTGAGGAAGTTAGTCTACTCCCTCCCAAAATCATGGCAATCAAAGAAGACGGCAATCATCGAGTCTAAGGACCTATCGTCCTTAACTCTTGAAGAACTTATCGGTTCACTCCTCACTCATGAGATGATGCTCGAAGATGAGGTGGACCTTGATAAAGTTAAAGAGACACCAAAGGAAAAGGAGAAGAAGAAAAATATTGGAGTTGCTCTCAAATCCACAAAAGATGAGAGTGATTCTAATAATGATGATGATGACGAGGAAATGGCATTGTTTGCCAAACGGTTTAGAAAAATGATGAGACCTTACCAAGGAAGAAAATTCAAACGAAACGAAGGCCTCAAAAATGAACCAAAAGAGAAGGACCCAATCATTTGCTATGAATGCAAAAAGCCGGGGCATGTC